GTTATACCCTTGTATTAAACGAAAACATCACAATTTCTAAAATGTTTTTCAACATTAGCGGAATATTGACAAAGTTTTGTGCACAAAACTATGAAATACTGTCACAGTACGATGAAAGGGGTATTTGCTTGTGGACTGATGTGAGAAAATTGTGAATTTTTGAAAGGTATTTGCCCTATTACATCTTATTTACAACTAATTCATTTGAAAAGAGCAACATAATGCAGACAGTCAAACACAGTAGTGATAGTTGGGCCTGCGCTGATTAGGTTTTCATGGAACAGTTCGTAATGCTTGTACCTTTTTGACAGATTTGACAATTGTTTGTCAAATCTGTCAAAACTTCTGAATATATTTTGCTCAGTATTTTGGACATGGAGTGAACAGAAAAGACAGTTACTGCCTTACCCTCCCCTCTTCTCAAACTTGATATAAGTTTTCTCTCCCTCATACGGCTTGAAGTCAACGCAAGACTTGAGACGATACATTTCAAACGCCTGGTGGACGCAACCTTTAGCGTTCAGATCTGAACAAAGGAAAAAGGAGCTGAGAAGATGATCCAGTACAATGTAAAAAATACCTGGTTTGGCATGCAAAGTAAATCCTATGTAAATTTTCATTTACTCTACATTGTAAGCTACCAGTTGACTTAATATTTCATTCAGCAATATTTATGTTAATCTGCTTTTACAGTATTCATTTCTCTGGAATTTATCAATTCTGTTCTTTCAACTCAATCAGCTATGATGATGTTTGAACACAATCATTCAGTGAGAATATCGTTCACTTTATATGAACTCACCTAAATCATCCCCAAGAATGTAAGGGATTGGAAATTTCCACCTATATCTTTGGTTGACCAGGGCATTCCTTTCTTTCTGAAACATAAAATCACTTATGTAAAACACCCAATCAAAATACACACTATTATCTCAGAGATATTGTCTCTAAGGAGTAGAAAGACGAACAGCTCTCAATAATTACTGACATTAATGTGATTTAACAAAAGAAAAATCATCTGGTTCCAACTTACAGGAAGCAAAATGTCTCCCTCAAAGAGGTCGGCATCAGAACCTGCAGCAAAAGTGACCACGATTCAACGTCATTGTTTTAAAGCTAATGTCATGAAGTCAAACAATATCATTCCTTACCAATGTTTAGGATGGGGTTCTCATCTTCGCCATTCTTGTACACTTCTGCAATACATAAACACATGGGTTTAAAACTGGCAAATTGTATCTTATTGTGATAAAATGATAATAGAAATTTTCTCCCATTTTTTACTTACCATGCACTTCACTGGAATGTGGAATCTGAACAAAACAAATCCAGTAAAAGTGAGTGCAATTCAAATCAGCAACGCTCAGTATGAATTCTGCATATATTCAGTACTTACGGTGAAGGATGTAGTCAAAACCACAAGTCCTAGCAGAAAGAGTCCTCTCTCCATTGTGATAGAAAGTGTGTGCCTAAATGCAGCTGCTGGTTTGCGTGTGCGCTCTCATGTGTTCGAAGGGGTTCAGGTTTATGATGATGAATGAAAGGACTTTGACTCATGCTGTTACTGATTGTTACAAGAAGTGCTTCTCACAAGCGCACCTGCTTGTTTGTTATTGAACTGTATCTGAGAGGACATTATCTAATCTAACTGCTAGCATTTTATATCGGATGCTAATGTTAACAAGCAACATAAATCCAGATGACGAGAAGATTATGAGATATTCCAGGGTGACTTTCAAAAAAACAAAACACCAACTGACTTTGCAAATCCTGGTGAAGTTTCCATATGGGTGGTTCAGTTTGTTCAGATTCAGCAGATTTCAACTGGCAAGTTTACAAGAAACTTATATTAGATGACTATGGCTTAAAAGTGAAAAAGGATAAGTATTTGATTAGAAGATTACAGTAAATGCCTGAAAAACTAGTGGTTCCTATATTCACTTTTTGACTCGGAAGCCTTTTACTTAAGATGAAAGAACTAATTAAAAATCCCAAGACTCTGGGAATTTGTTGAGGCTTTGAATTCTTCTATAGTCTGTGTTCCAAATTATTATTAAAATTGGATTTGAGTGTCATAAAGATTACATTTTTTGTTGTACTATTAAATTTATAGAATGTGTTGTGTGTCAGGGCTCTTTGAATCACTAAAATTCATTTCAGAGACCTGGGTTGATGAGTTTGTCTAGTGAGCTCAATTAAAGGAAATCTACTGAAGAAGGAGGAGGCTGCTGGTGCCTCTGGAACCTCAAGGTGGAGGATCCTCCAGAGGCTTGCAGTGCATGAACCTAAACCTACTATTGGGCCCCTAACCAGCTCACAAGCAGAACCGGTGGCAGTGGGCCCAGCCGAACATGAAGATTGATTTTCGAACAGACTTGTTCACTGATGACTGCTGTGCCACCCTGGATGGTCCAGATGGATGCAGTAGTGGATTGGTGCTGGATGGCCACCACGTCCCAACACGGCTGTGATGTCAGCAAGGAAGTAGAGTCATTCTTTGGGCCGAAATCATGGGGCGAGAGAGAGCTGATCGCCCCCTTCAGAGCCCTGAAGGCAAGAAAATGACCTCAGTAAAGTAAATGAACTTTCTGATTTATCACTTTCATTCATGGTTCAAAAAGAAGAGTAGCGAAATCATCTTCATGCATGACAATGAATGGTGCCAGGATGCAGTTCATATCAAACAGCAGCTCTGGGAAGATATTCTGACATCCTGAAATTCAAGCAGAAACTATCCCCAAACTCACAAGTTCAATGGATGCAAGAATTGTGCAGGTGATACCAAAGTAGAGGTCCTATGTTAAAATGTAACTCGTCTGTTAAGGTGTTTTTGATTGAAATAACTTTTGATTTTAGTACATGTGATCACTTAATGCTGCACGTGACCGTGCAGCATTAATTAAGTAAACATCCAGCAAATGTTTAGAAAATCTGCTGAGCATAATTTCGAACAGTCATTGACCAACCAAACTTTACACAGAGAGAGCGCTCTGCTCTCTGTGGCCAATTAAATACACAAACGAAACGCAGGTAACAGCTGGGTCCGGACCAGCCTAGCATTAGCACAGCAGGCTAGCATGCTATCCTCTCCGGCCAGCTACATGTGGTCTCGCTACGACAACATACAGAGTTTCGTTTAGGTTTAGTCAACAAAAAAAATGATCAAGGCAACATGGAGAGGTGATTCGGGGTCTCAATAATCAACAACGTGAATGTCGTGCACTCGTCGCCAGGAAGACGAGGTGGCCGAGTGGTTAAGGCGATGGACTGCTAATCCATTGTGCTCTGCACGCGTGGGTTCGAATCCCATCCTCGTCGCATTCCACAAACTTTTTTTATTTTTTGGCCTAAATCGAAACAGGATTTTTCCCTTTTTCATCATTATTTGGACTCGGTGTCTGAGACGTATGAATGTACGTAGGATTTGCGCAAACCTGAGGTTCTATTAGAAGTTATAAAAAGATTCGGCCTTGCACGTGTTCTTGCGTAATGCTTTTTATGTCTTTTGTCGAAAGTCATATAAAAATCTATATCCAAGTCAAACTAATAGTTTAGGAAACTTTTAAGCTATTGTGCGGTTACATTTCTTTCAAAAGCATGTATCAGAATGAGCTGTTTTTATTTCAACGGCGCCCTCTACTGTCTCAAAATATTACTGTCCCGGTAATTCCTAACAAAGTCCTAACAAATGACATCATGTCATTTTATGCACGGCATTGCACGGATGTTCATGGGACAGAGACGTTACCTAAACGTTACTTTGTCGCGTTGTGCAACACACAAAAGTTTTTTTTTTTTTTTTTTTTTGGTGACTACAAACTACTTTAAATTTCATATGTGAGATTTGTTTATCAATTTCCCTTGACCGTGGTGTTATGAAGGTTTAGGTTACTGAGGAAGGATTTCACCTTAAAATAAGTGCTTATCAGTTTTAGTTGGTTTGACTACATTTAATATTTACCTCAGTTCACATTCCTCAGGTTTTACTGAGAATACAAAGCTATGAAATATACGGAAGACATAAAACTCTCATTTATTGTAATCATAAGCATTTCCTGTGAAAACCACAAGAGGGCGCTCACGTATCACAGATACATATGGAAACGGGTTTTTTCACAGCAGTCGCACCAACGATGAGACTAAATAAAGTTAATAACTATAAGAAGATTTACATAGGGGTATGACATTCTCATAGTGTGATAACAATGATTAATAACACCAAAGGGTTATGATATTAAAAACAAAAAAAACTGTATTTAATTATATAGTTTCTTTCATTTAAACAGAACATTTCAGGTTTTATCTAAACTGCTGCTTAAAAAAAAAGCTTAACATTATTCAAGTTATACAAAGGTTCTTTTATTTTTACTGTAGTACAGTGATCCTTAAAGGACAAAAAGGGTTCAGATCCAGCCTCAGTATTCAAATATGAAAAATAATGTTTTGGGAATGTAAATACGTTAAGGTGAAGGCTCACAGCTGCAGCATTTTCTTGAAAATTACATTTTTTCTGGACCTGACCGAGAACTTGGTCAACACTGTCAGACAAAAATAAATCACAAGAGTATTTTTTTTATAAACGTCTTAATAATAATTTTACTGTCTGCGGCGTCTCAATTCTTTCAATTGATGACTTCAGACATTTTACTGTCGAGAAACAAAATGAATATTTAAAACAAAGAAAAACAACATAAACTCCATTTGCACAGAGCCGACGGTGGTGACGAGCTGGTAAGAATTTGAATTAAATGCTGAAATGTTGTACGGCATGAAGAGAAAATGTGAAATAACCATAATTAGATATTAATCAAATTAATATAAAGGAAAAGATATAGGAAAAAAAACATTGCGTACTACCAATTCAAATCTTTCTAAATCTCTTAAAGTGAAATCTTCCGACGACCCTGTTTTTCACCAAAAGAATGAAACATCCGCAAAAACAAAAACGTATTCCTGCATTGGGTGACAACCCCCAGAATCCCCCAGGAGCTGACACTTGAATGTTTCTCGTTCCTGGGTTGGATGTCAGGATTGTCATAAGCCTGAAACTCATCATTTGTCACATATTACAGTTTGACACCATGTCAGCTGTTGGACACCATGCCAAAGAACGCTTTGCCATTCATTAATATATTGACCTCTCGGGACAATACTGGCATCCCGTCTCTTCAGCATCGCCCCGATGCCATTGCTATCTCATAACGTTACAGGACAACACAGAGGAGGAAGAAGTTCTTTTTAGCGTTATATTGTTTGCTTGGACTATCAGACTGAAAGTGGACAGTGTTTAAGGTGGGACGTCTGACATGAATATATGAGGATTTGATCCACATGGCTGCAGCGTTATATGATGATCCGAAGGAGGCCATATTGAACCCTGAAATCTGTACAATATGCCAAGGTTTAACATTTCTGTCACACAATTTCATCAACATTTTGTAAATCGTCACTTGTGGCGTCGACACTATGTGGTTGTGACGAACAACTTAGGAATGAAAAAGAAGAGAAAAATAAAGAGTAACATTAGCCTACCAGAGCTGCTAGCTCTCTTTAGCAAAGGTAGAAACAGGAAGTGGTCATGGGGTCCTCAGAAGTTCTGATGCCCTCCAATAATGCCTGATTTATTCTCAGGATACAATTTCAATTGGATTTGAAAATACACAAAATGATTTTTCAACTCCATCTTTTGATACTTAGAAGATTATTTATTTGAATATTTATATGTAGATGTCACGACATATGTCAGAATTCTTTTAAGCTATGATAATTTATTGAGTTCTGCTCCAGGACAAAGGGCTTCTACAGGCACCATCCACCTACTGCATGGTTTAAAATAAAAAAAATACTCAGCAAACACCTTGAAAACATTCACTGTTGTGGTGACATTGGCAGGTCAGTTTCTTCAGTTATTTGAAGAAGTTATATTTTCAATCTATTTTATTCAAAGTATGTAATTTATCCGGCAGACATGTTCCGTCCCTCTTCTCACGGATCAACAAATATACAAACTTATGCAAAAAATACAGAATACATCTGGCTAAATATAGTGCTCACTGTGCCCAACAAATTTGATATTAGCTGAATAATTAGTCAGGCAATCTGCCAAGGTAGCCTGCCTACAGTCAGCTGTTAACATACTGATATTTTTAATTTCATATGACAATTTTGTCTTCCTCTTCTCCATCAAAAAAGTGGATAAAGTCCTGTTGTTGCCAGTTGCACTCAGCAACAGGTTGGAGAGGGGTAGATCCGTGCTATTTTTTTCTTGCTGTTCCTCAGAGGTAGATAATACACTGGACTCAGCAGCATTTGCTCTGGTATCTCCAGAACCACAGGAATGCAACTGAAACAGTTCTCAGTTGCTCAGTTTTTCTGTCCCTCGAAACACATTTGCTATTAGTAAAGCATCAAACCGACATCCACGTTGCCCGCCAGGTTTTCACGTTCCTCTCTATTTTCAGTTTATGACGAGTCGTCCTCGTTGCGTTGATAGGCTCTGTTCTGGCGTCCTTGGGGTTTGTCGTCACGGCTCTCGCCAGGATCACAGGGGCCGCTTACGCCCCCCGTGGCTCCATAGTGACCCCCTTCTAGCCCAGGGGAAAGCTGAGCGTTCTCTGTCTGGTCCTCCAAATGGTGACCTGCCGTCTGCGAGAACGTCAGGGAGACTTACAAGCACCGAAATGCAAAGAATATCCCACGTATGCTGTGAAATAACTCAAAAATAATTTAAAAGCATCTGAGTATGTGGGGTTAATGGAGCTGGACATAAGATACTAGACATAATCCTGAAAACACTGTTCTGAGCACTGTGCAACAACAACAGATATTCATGAAGACTTACTCATGGTCATGACAGGTGTTATGTCATGTTTATGACATTGTCATGACAGTCTTATTCACAACCCATCCTATAAAATGTTAGCATTTCGCTATAACTGCAGGAAACATTTGGTTTTATAAGGTATTGAATCATCTGATCTGGATGCAGATTCACCTTTTCACAGCTGTGTTCTACTTTGTGTCGGCCTGTTGCACAAAAATCTCGCTGTGTACTGATTAGATTTCAGATATTCCTGAGCTGCAGGTTTACCTTCTGCTCACGGTAATATCGATCCACCGCGTATTGATATTTGGCTCCATTCAGCCCAAGAGCGCCGGCCAGTCTCTCCCCGAGGAAATCACAAGCTGGTTTCAGAAAGACAAAAAAGCGTCTCGTTAGTCTTCCTGTCATCAGTCCGATGACGTTTGCGGCGCTACATACCCAGCAGTGACATCCTCCCAACTAGAATGGCAACATTCTTGAACGACAGCCGTTTCTGAGTGAAGGAAGACACATCTATCACATGATCTACCACTTTTGACGTCCAAACAGATTTCATCCTCTGAACAGGGGCCCACCCTCCTTGTTGGCTCTTCAAAGGGGGTTCTCTGTGACTTCTGCTCCTCTGCCTCGTCTTCTTCAGAGTCGTCCAGCTCCAGACTTTCCCCGCTGGAGAAGTAGACGATCCTCTTCTGCTTTTGCAAAGGTGGACCGTCAAACTCTGTCTCCTGGTCCTGTGGAGAAACCTGACGGATCATAGAGATTTTTGCATAAACTTTTATTTCAAACCGAAACACCAAGAGTTATTTATTACACGACTCACTTCCTGCCGGCCGTCTGTGTTCATTCTTCAGCCGATGAGAGGCCCCGTCTTTCTGGAGCGATGTGGAATACCACAGTTGCACTGAGTGCATCCATCAGCGGCGAGCGTCTGTGAGGAAAAACCGACCACAGGACACCGGATGAGTCCTGAAACCCGAGAGGACAAACAGAGCAAACCTTAACTCATGACGAGAGCCGTCACTGCTGTCAGTTTCCTTCTTCACCTGAGGAGGCCGGGCTTATCGCTGAGGATTGTCAGAGTCACTGTCACGTCTGTTTGCCAAACGTTGGAAACTAACAGCCTGACACACAACGTTTGAGTCACACCCTCTTTTATTCCTCGCGGCAGAAAACAAGGACTTAACATGGAGTCATAAAGAAATATGGTGGTTAATATAAACCATCAGTTGTTCCACCCTCTGCTGTTGCCGACGTTGCATGTGATGTCATCGGTTCCACTGTTGTTAAGGTCCGGACACACCTGTGGCGGCATCTGATGATTTTATTCATGCCTCAGCAGAGAAAACAAAGCATCGGATATTTACTCATATGTGAAGGATTCTTACATCTCCAGCCAAGACCTCTGCAGGACAAATCAGATCACAACCTTGTTTTTCTATCCTCCGAATGTACAATATAGTTCAATAAGTTCAATACAGTTCATTAAATTATATGGCATATAATTTAATATATGCAAAATATTGTATATATTGAAATATATATTCTTTTGCAAACAGAAAAGCAGCGGTAAACTATTTTTCTCTTGCCTTCCTTAGAAAACCAGTTTGAAATAAATAAATGAAATTAACCTTTCGTATGCAACTGAGAAATAAATCTATTAGAAACATACGAGAAAAATACTATCATAATTCACTCTACAATGGGGGATAGAAAATAAATCCAGGTCACACTTTTAAAAACAACTGTATTTACTGTACTATTGTGCGATGCTCTACTGTCACTTTAATATGCATTTAAATGTCATAAAACGCCAATGTAATTATGAACAAAACTTACATTGTGACTGCAGAAAGATGTGCAAAGACGACACGTTACACGGCAACTTTTCTGACTGATTTAATACCACATGGGTTACATTTTACATGAAGGACACCACAGAAGGAGGAGGAAGAAGAGAAGGAAGGTGTTCACACTGCAGCACTGGCGCAGCACCCTCATGAAGAATGGTCGCGTGCAACTAGCACTGGGCCGACTCCTGCGGCACCTCGAGAAGCTAAGTCTGGTGCTCCAAGTGCAACGAACTACATGTCTAAACCAGCTCAACTTTAAAATCTGCTGGATAAAGTGCAGAGGTGTTTCAATGTGCTATGAATACATCAGGGTGGGTTGGGTTAGTGTATGGAAGCGGCTTTATACAGTCTATACAACTTTCCAGCGGTTTCTAAATTAACTGGTTTGGATTTCATTGTCAAAGCGGGCGGAGGTCGGACAGCCGGGGCGAAGCTGCCCTGCAGGGGGAGCCAAAGCTACTGCAGGGGCAGATTCTGCTGTTTGTGTCTTTTAGAGCCACTTGGAATGATGATCCAGTCTAAAATATACCACGTCTCTGTGGCATTTACATTTACAAAGTTACATTTCCAAAGAAAAATGGCATCATAACGAGATAGCCGTTTTGAGTTAAAACAATTTTTTTCTCCTGCTTCGAAATCATTTTCTAAGTTGTGATATTGTCACCGCCAACACTTTGTAATATTCTGAAACATAGCCGGAAGGAAAATGATAGAAAACGCGACTCAAATAAATTAGTAGTAGTTTGCTTGTTGCAGGAAGCGGGCGTCGATGCTGATCTGCTCTAACAGTACGTGCTTCTGTTAGCATGCTAGCTAGTTTTAAAAAGAGTGATTCACCGTTTGTTTTTGACATATTGGCATGTGACTTGACTTGATGTTTTGACTGGCTTTAGGTGTTCCTTAAATTGGAAAGCTGGAGGTTGAACAATTCTGGATACTTTTCTAGTTGTTTTTATAGCAACCTCGTTTAAGCTAGATGGTTAGCAACAGGCGGTGTAGGGGAACTCTGAGGTTGCTACGGATATTCCTTTACATCTCTCTACAAGAACTTTAAACTGCAGGTATAGTTTGAACAGAAGATGTTGACGACTGTTTAAGAAGGTCATATCAATAACAGACCATCAATAATCAATGACAATAACATATCAATAACAGACCATCGCCCGCTCAGCGCCTACTGTAGGCAAGAGCTACTGAGAAGGTCACATGGTTAGCATCGTATGCCGAGTTCTGATACCCAAAAACATTCAGCTGCACTGAACTCTATGCTAAGTGTTAAGATTGTCTCCTATAACGTTCAAGAACCAAAGCATATCAAACAGGCTCACATATATGTCTGAGTTTTGTCACCTCAATGTAATATTTAGCCATATCCAGCAATAGTAGGGTCTCCCGAAAGGAACAGTACTTGTAGAAAACAGCTTAATGTCACATACAACAAAGAAAAACTACAATACATGAGATCTAAATCAAACAAATCGTCTACGACTACAGCTGAAACAAAGTCAATTCACCATCAGTACACACAGACCGGTGTCTCTTGGATTTCTTGTCATTATAAATGATTGGATAATGTCATAGTGGGAAAACCCCTCAGCTCGGATACTCTGTGTTCAGGTAGTACTCAGAAGGATTGTACGTATGCTTTTACTCACTCGGGGTAACTTCTACCTGCAGTGATGAACATTCCAAACAGATGTTTCATAGTTGGGAGTGCAATATGTGCTTTTCTTCGGGTTGAAATTCTGGATCGTGTTACAGAACCGAACACATAAAACTTGTTTCTCTTCCTGGAGCCTCATAGGTCAGGGTGGTTTGGTCCATCTGTCTCCTATTAACCGGTTTTGGAGAATTTACTGTCTTGGACAGAGTCAACTGCGTCTGGTAAAAGTTCTAATCCCAAAACAAGCCACAACATTCCCGTTCGGCAACACGCACGGTAAACACACTCACTGCATGCCTTCAATTCAACTCCAGAGGAAAATCAGATGGGATGGGCTTTTCTTTTTGTTGGACTAGAACTTCAACTTGCCATCTTTTGCAGGTTTCAGCGCACAGATAGGAGCGGCTTGTGGGCCTGCCTAGCATACCATCCGGAGCAGATTTTACACAAGTCAGATTGTTCTGGTAGTGGATCACATCCAAATATAAAGAACATGTTTCAGCATGAATGTAAAATACCATGGATTAATAGTGACGGGGGGGGAAAAAGTCAGTGGAGGAAGATAAACAGACGCTGTCTTTATAAACGATGTTTCTTCAGCATGGTCGATGCCAAGACGGCGGCTCTAGGAGAGAACACAACCTGTGTCCTTCTGGGGCTTCAAATCAGGCTCCTTCACCGGCTTCACCTCCTCTTCCTTGGGCTTGGCCTGGTTGGGACAGTAGAGCACAGTAAGACATGAACACTGGATCAGGTCAGCTTTTCATAAAAGCTGTTTAGCATGTCTGTATCAAACTGCCGTAGCATAACGTGACCTGAAACTGCAGTATGATATTTTACAAAGATGCGTTTCGTAGGAATTTCTCAAAGCTATATATATATATTTTTTATTTTTATTTTTTTATTTTTACAAAAGTTTCCTGCTGCACCTTTCAAGACTATAGAGTTCTAATGATCTTGAAACAAAAACTCTAGCGAGGCTTTTCTAGACCGGGTATTAGTAGATTACTGCATGGATTCATAAACCGACAGCACACCTTGTCATTTTTGGCTCCCTTGGTGAGGTCAAAGGTAGCATAGACCTCAGGAGTGCACTGCTCGCTGAGGGGCGGCAGCTCGAAGGGGACCGGCTCCGCCAGACCGTAGCTGGCCTTCAGCTCCAGCTGGGGAGGCTCAGCAGGAACCTTATGGAAGTATCTGTGGAGCAACACCCAGAAAACATTAAATAAACAAACAAAACAAAAAGAGAAAAACAGGAGAACTTTGGATTGTTTATGTTCTTCTCACTCAGTTTTGCAGTCGCAAGCTGCTAACGTTCTATATTTTAGAAGTTTTAGACTTTTATGAGCAAATACTAAGAAAGAATATTATACCCAACTAAATATAATTGGATAATTTAATGAATAATGCTACTGATGGAAGAGGGGTATGTGTCTACCCACTCCTCTGAACGTGCAACTATACATTGCTGCTCTTTTGTTTGAAATTCTGTTTCTTTGTATATAACGTTTTATTCATTTATTGTGCTACATTTAATAAACTCAAAATGTAACAGTGCTCTCTGGTTCATGTCAGACGGAGGTGTTTCAACGACAGACCACCAGAGTGCACTGCAGCTGAGTCAGCATTAAAATGTGTGTGTGTGTGTGTGTGTGTGTGTGTGTGTGTGTGTGTGTGTGTGTGTGTGTGTGTGTGTGTGTGTGTGTGTGTGTGTGTGTGTGTGTGTGTGTGTGTGTGTGACTCACATGAAGCCGTTCTCTCTCTGGCATTTCTCCAGCGTGGTTTTAATGAGCGCGCCCAGCTTGAGGAAGAACAGCTGCTCTGACGGCTTGGCCGTGGTGCCGGGCCCTTTGGTCTGACGGTACTCTTTACACAGCGCCTCCGCACGGGAGTAACCTGAACACACACTGTGTTAACGCCCACAACATACAGGGAGCGCAGCGGGGTCGGGGAGGAGAAGACCTCTCACAACTCATGACTGGATGTGTCCATAACAGAGCAGCATTATGGAACCGTTTTGTTCCCTCTAGAAAAACATATCTGGAGTGCTGCCTTGGTTCTTTCATGCTCGTCCTTTAGTCTCTCATGGCAACCGTTCGGCTGTGCAAAGGCAACCAAATCGCTGGCTGGACCTAGCACAACTTTCGAGACGGTTTCAGAGCGTCTGCCTCACAGATGAGCCCTCCCCACTCAGCTCCTTCAGACTAGCGGCAGCAGCAATTATCAAACTCCTTGTGGAACTACCTAATTGCTGAGCGCATGATAGGAGCCACTTCTCGATAAACAGACGGTAACAGTTAATTTAGCTATCAAATGGCACCACATGCCTGGAAAATACATAACACTGCATCTTTAAATACACAGTGGCAGGAAACAAGAAGCAAACACACAGGAAGCACCTGTGACATCACTGGCAGTCACTGGTTCTGACTCAGGCATGACAAAGGGAGAGGAAACGCCGCGACATGTAGCTCACTGACACTTGATAGCATGTGTGAGGTTACAGTATAACATCTCTAAGGTCGCGAACAACATATGCTCTCAATAAAGCGCGGTGCTGAAGAAGTGCGTACATTTTTCGGCCTCCTGTAGGGATCTTATAGACTCGCCACATTTGTCGCTGGCCAGCAGCGTCTGGCCATGGTAGCAGAACGCCTGCAAAGGAAAACAGAAACCGTTGGGACATTTCATGGTTAAACTTGTTTTGGGTTTTTTTTTTTTCCCCCACCCACCCATCCAAACCAAAGCCGCAAATGTGTGTCAGCTTACATAAGCCATGTAGAAGTACTGCTTCAGCTGCAGATACTTCCTCCACTTGCTGCTGCACTCCGGCTCCAGGGTGTTCAGCGTGTGGTCTGCGCCGGCACAGGTAAAAACAAGGTTTTACCGCAAACTATCAGAGTACGAATAAACCCACAGGATCAAACGGCAGAAAAATTTTACACTGCCAAAACAATATGGCTACGTAAAACGCCAACACTGACCGGCTTTCTGATAGAAGTTTGCCGTCTCAAAGGCCAAAGCTGCGATCAGGGAGGCGTTGTGCTTGAGCTCGATGGCTCTGGCAATCGTCACTGGAAAAATGGAACGGAATATCGGATTGTTTTTAAAGTTAGCTCTGTTAAAAATGATTCGGCACAACACCAAAAACGCACATATTAAAAACTAGAAGAAAAAAAAAATTAGGAAATAAAAAAGAATAAAATATTGGAATTGAAACTGACCGCATTCACTTCTCTCATCCCCTCACACACTTACACACTATGGTTGTTGTTTTTATTTTATGGTCAAAAAGATAAGATTAAGTTTTATTTGCTGTTAAAGAAACACAGTGTTACCAAGTTTAAGACATAATCTAAGTAATGAAAGGTCAAGTTTACTATCTGTTCATGTGCATCGCTGTCCCGTTGTGACTCAGCAGTACCTTCCTGTGCCTCGGCTTGGCACTGGATGATATACGCGTCCAACACTCTGGGCTCCAGGTCTCGGCCCTTTTCAGCCGGGGTGATGAGGCGGGGAACGTGGACCTCCTACGGCAGAGATGCAAAACACATTTTTATTTTTTTTAATTTACAGCTCATTGGCCTGTCATGTGTTTGCTTTCAGAAATATGTAGAGTTGTAAATATTGGAAGTTTAAACTTGTGCTTCACCTTGAGAGTTTTGAAGATTCCAGCAGCAACCTTCAGGCTCTTGTGAACATCCTTGGCTTCGGGCTCCGTTATGCTTTTGGAGAGGCAAACATGGCCGTCAGTATGCTACAAGAATATCCTGGTCATTTTCTGTGGTCAGTTGGCATATCGGGGAACCAACTGTCAGCTCAAATAAGTCAACAAACACACAACCAGGCAGTTTATCTACACGTTTGAATCAGAAACAACATTTTGTTAATCAATAATTCATTTCAAGCTTTTTAACAGTAGCATATCCATTTTGTCCAATGTAAACAGAACTTCAGTGTGAAGCAGCGTCAGATTATAGCAGGCGGAGGATTTTTCTTCCGTCTTTGGTAAAAGACTGTAAGGCTTTCCATTCGCTGGTGCTATGCAATCGCACCAGAGTTCACTGCAACCAAGACAAGACCTCGGTTTGTAAGACCAGAGTTTGCTTTTTTGAGCGTTCCTTCCCAAACAAAGCAAACATTCAAAATAATTTGATAAATGCAGGCTAAACAGAGCTGGTGTGAATGCAGCCATAGAGTGTTTTACTAAAGGTAAAAGGGCTTTTAACTCAGTACTAACAGGCTGTACCTAATAAAGTAGCCAGCTAGTGAACAGACTGCGTAAGCAACACTTGGCAGTAATTTCACTATAAACGTCTGAAACGTGCCACAAAATTGCGCCGATATTAAATTGCTCACAATTTTGCAAAATATTTTTTTTTCTTTTACATGCTGGAAAAAGCAACAAAGACACTTACTTTTCCTTCCCAGCTAGTCTTGAGGCAAACTTGGTGTACCAGACGGCTACATTGAAGGCCATAGAGACCAGCTCAAAGACGGCATCCTGCTGGGCACTGACAGAAACCGGGAGTTAGGATTTCTACACAACTACAATCTGAACCATGAGGTCAATCAGATCAGGTTAAGTCTGTCCACAAGGGGCCTCAAAACCGCCACAGCCTCCTCAAAGATGCTGTCTGGTACCTTGGGATGTTTCCTTGTAAGGTGTCGGTCCACTTAAAGTTCTGGATGAACCTCATCTTGTTCTCCTGTGTGCTTCCATCCAGAGATGAGATGAAGCCTGTTGGTCACAAACACTGAGACGTTTAAGGAATGAAATACAAGGGCGCTTGTTGGGTAGCAACTGCAATTTTATAAAAACTCGCTTTTCATATGCAAACGATGACGACCCAGATTGACAGTAGTCTGCTGTAAGGAAATGGTGTTACATGGATTAAGTAAATACGACCAACCAGAAAATTATTGTGTTTTAAGCAATAAAATCAATTAAGCACATAATAAATTAAGACGAGCCAACAGACATGATCTTATCTTTCTACCAAAAAATGAATTCTAAAAGTCTTCAGTCTTGTTTTGAAGGACTTGACAATTCATTTTATTTGTTGTTTCTTTATTTCTTTACTTATTTTGGATATTGAAAATGTCTTCCTGGTCCAGTGTTCAATATTTGTTAGAATTTCAAGTTTATTAATCTTTTAGAATGTGTTCTTGCATTGTGAAGCCATTATCATTATGCTACTTGAAAATGTTCTCAAAACCACAATATGGTAATGACCTCTTGGACAATTTATTGTCCAGCTATATGAAACAAAAATTACGATAGCAGTAATTTTACAGTTTCTTAAAAATTAAAAATAAAAAGAGGGCAAAGTTGAGAGGCAAAAACAGTCTTCTGCCGCTTATTTCCTTTCAATAACTGTCTGTTTATAGAAAATCGTGCTGAAACCAGCAGGGCCGAAGTGAGCGTACTTGCCTTGCAGCAGAGAGAAGTACGCGTCCGAGGCGTTCTTCATGATCTCCGGGGTGCAGGTGGAGTCTGTGAACATCTCCAACAGCCTCGCTCTGTTCGTCCTCAGGTCACTAAACGCATCACAGGGACAGAAGTCAGCTGACGATGTTGTTGCTCAAATACCAACAGGTTTCTTTCCGGACGAATAACCGGAATCTGAAATGACTTTTTTCCTGTAAAGTGCCTCAGGATGACATTTGTTGTGAATTGGCGCAATAGAAATGACCAAATTTAATTGATTTTCAAAAAACAAATAATAAGAAGCGCCAGAATGTCAGTCAATTTCCACAGCGTTATCAAACGCCTGCTGTACCAGACGTCGACTGGTCTGATAACCTGAAGTAAAAACAGCACAGCTTGACTGCTGATGGTATCACCACAACTCTTTTCAAACCAAATATGCATTACATGATTGATTGCTATCTAGAACAGCTCTCCAGCTAGCATGTTAGCTTACCAAAACAGTGCAACTTAATAAAAGTGGTGGATGGCTCTTCTTTAGGGCCAAAACTATGACTTTTTGCAACTGGCAATCTTTTATTTCATCTTTATACTTAAAAAAAAAAACAAAACAATGTAATCACCACCTTTCAGCTACCTGAAGTGCTCAGTAACAGGTAGGGGAGGGGCAACAAAGCAATATTCCATGCTGTAAGTGAGGAAAGGTTGTTACTGTGATAAAAACAACACTTTTTATCACATCAAAAAGGTATTAGGACTATAATCTCCACTGTCATTTTCCTCTTGACTTCCATTACCAAATGAAGAGGATTCAATTATTTGTGCTTAGGCTTTTTTTTTTTTATTCAAATGATTTCCTGTTAAAACTTCGAGCACCCTTTAACCTCCGGTGCTTTCAGAGCAGACTATGGAGACATTCAAAACCTCTTCCGTATTTTGCGATTCAGCTTAACGTTGACGATGGTGTGTGAATTTAATAGTGTCTTTAAAGCTGCGAGTTCGATGAACAGAAACACAGACGCGACTGAAGACGTCCGTTTTAATATAACGAGAGACGAAACAGGAAACTGTTTCTGGGAGAGCGGCTTCGGCCGTTACTGAAATGAGCCGCCTGTGTTTACAGGATCGGTTCAGTTTGAGCCCTTTGGGTATAAATCTGGATCCTCCCACTTCCTTTCTGAACTGCCCAGCATGGTGTCGATGGCTCCCCTTGTCTCATGTTTACCACAGTGTTGAGGGTAATGTTGGTAATTTGCTTCAACGATGCCGGATATGCGAACTCATAAAATCTGCAACATTAGTAGACAATTGTTGCTATCTAAAAAATTCCTCTCATTAAAGCTGATATGTGTGACTTTTATAAGAAATATATATCTTGGTTTTTTATATATCTTGTTTTTTTGTTTGTTTTTGGTTTTTTTTTACATGTTTCTTGAAATTATTAGACCATCTGTGAAAAAGATTCATCTCCTCCACCTCCTTCTGGTGCTACTATTTCCATATGAAGAAATGCACGGCTCCCAACCAAAACCAACCAATCAGAGCCAAGAGGAGGGTCTTAATGCTGATATTCAACTTGTGTACTCGCTGCTAAATGGGCTAATGGCACAGAAACAACTTACTGCAATAGAAAACCTGTTCATCCGCTGTCAAAGGTGGCTGTGCTAACGCATTCATGATAGACTTTGCTGACAGGCTAAAACTGCAGCTTAGCAGAGAGCAAACAGGGAAAGGGACGAGGAATGAGCAGCGCCACTGTGCACTAAGACAGCACAGGTCTTAGTGCTGTGATTGACTCCTGCTTAGACTCCTGGCTCTGACTGCTTGTAGTCAGAGCCAGGTAGTGGGAGAAGGCAGAGGAGCGACACTTTTTCACAGACTGTCCATCTCATACCACACTGTAACAACATGTTACAACAAATATGTAAAACATATATACATTCGATCTAAAAGTTACATACTGTAGCTTTAAAACTGTGGCGACGACACGTCCAGAACATGTCCCACCACTGAGAATTATTACAGTGAACTTATAAACACTGGTTTTGTTTTGCTTTTTAAACTTGGTAGAAATCTTACTGTTATGTTACTGTTATATATTGAGTGTGCTGCCACATGTATAATCAAATCAAAGCCAAAGTGTTGTACATTAAGTCTAAACAGTAACCTGCCAGAGGAGCATGGTGGGTGATAACGCTGCTCTGTCTCAGGTGGAGGACATTAGACTTACTTGCATATCTTGTTGGCAGCCGGGCTCCCTGCCACACCATAGAAGTTAAAGGACACCGGCGCTGTTGCCTTCAGTGGGTTTCTGTGAAACCAATGGGCCATTGTGTGGACAGGGGCGCACCTACAGAGGGAAGGCTACAACACAGTGACAACAGGTTAATAATGACACCGACGCGCTCGCTGTGTTGTCTGGGATCGAGGCTAGCTCGTGAACAGCTCGTTTCGCTGCTTATTTTTCAAACGCGCGACGTTTGTAAGCGAACGTGAAGGGTTCCTACGTCACTTTTACGACGTCGCGGCTACATCTCGCCGTGTTAGCGCTCTGATAAAACACCTTTCACGTCAACTCAAACACACTTCATAACACAGAAAGGCCCACACTATTGTCCCGGTCATGGACTGTGACTAAATATGTTATTTCCCCTACTACATAAAGACAAAAAGTCCATGACGTCAGCTAACAGAGAGCAACCACAGCTAACTGGCTAATTGTACAACCGCAACCCGGAATAGTTCGGTAAGGTAAACAGGGAGTTGTCAGACGGCTTCATAAATATACACGAAGTGGTCTGAACGTAGCTGAACTTCCACTATTTACCTGTCAATGCGTCGCCGTAGATCAGCGATTTGGTTGCCTGGAAAGTCTGACAGTGACAACTAACTCACTTCCGGAAATAAACACGAAACAGAGGCGGACCAATGAAAACGGGCGCTCTTGTCACGTGGCATACACAAAAGCACTTCAGATCTTCACTCACTGTGGGGGGTTTCCGTACGGCTTCATACACGTAAAACACGACACAAGTGCATTTTTTGTTTGACAGTTTTACTTGCGACAGTTATCATTTTAAGGGCTTCTTCCTTTTCTCTCACATTAGACGTACATTGTGTAATAAATGTAATTACAGACATTGTGTTTCTAAAATTAGTCATTATCTTCTATTGGCAATGAAAGATTCAACAAAAAATTGTTCATGAATAAAAAGAAATTTGTCTATAAACTGAGGCCAAACAGAAAACAACTCTTGCTGAGCTTTATGATCATTGTTTCATATTTTAATATTTCATCTTTTAATCAACTAGGCACATATGCAACCGGAATCTGTGTGGTTATTGATTTCAACATAATTACCAGGTTTGTATGTTTTGATTATTTCCATTACCTTTGTGCTTTAAAAGAAAAATACCATGCAATATCACTTTACAAACTTTTTATTAGCATTTTTTAAAAGAAATTACAAAAGTTCATTTTTCACAAGTATTTTTCCCCCATCTGACAAATAATGTCTAGCTACTTCAAGTGATGATCAAAACAAATCAATAGAAAAGAGAAATGACCGCCCCAAAAAAATGAAAAAAAGATTGATTCATCCTTTAAAATAAAGGAGTCATTAATAAGTTCACACACAAAATTTATGGAAATTATTTGTGCTGTGGATTGTCATCATTATCTATCCCAATGTCAACTTCACTGTTGACATTGACGTTCTTGTCAGCAAAAACACAAGCAGAAATTCATTTCACAATCACATTCACTACAAATCAGGTGCACCAAAACAGGGTCAGAAAAAAAGCCCCCATCAAATCACTTTAACCACAAATCAATATTTAGATTTGAATGAATAAACAACCAGAACCAAACAAATATCCCAAAAGGAAAAAACAGAAAGGTCAAGTACTTAGGTGTAAGTACTTAGTTTTTTAATAGTCAGTGCATTTTAAGAAGTAATTTCCAAACAAGGCACTTTTGTTCAGATTGAAGGCAAAAACAAAATCATGTAAAGAAAAATAATGAAACAGAAGAATTTTTTTTCCTTAAATAAAATTCTAATTTAGTTCATTCTGTTCTCATTAACAAAAATGTAAAAAAAAAATCAATATGTGAACATAGAAGGTGCAAATATAGAAAAGCAGCAATGCAGGCAATCCTGATGTTTGCAGAATCAAAATCCTGGTTCCAAAAGGTCACTTTTTGGTCTGTCAGAAAGTAAATAAGAGCATAAGAAAAAAGTACTTTCCGGTCCCCTGGTCCGAGATCAATACAACAGAAAAACAACAAAAATGCCCCAATTGTCCTGTACAGAAAAACAGTTCACACGACCCGACACGTATTGTATTAGGTGACAAAATAAGAAACTACGACTGATGAACAAACCCCAAAATTCATCAAATTTGATAAAGGTAGATTCACTTTTTTGAAACCAACTCTTTCCATTTGCCTCATTTACAATCGTACCATCATAATCACATGGAAACATTTTTAAACAATTTTCCCTAAGCAGCTATACACAAGCAGAATTTTTTCCCGAAACAAGTTCCCTAGAAACCTACAAATAAACAGAATATGAAGGTTTTTCACTTGAGAAAAAGTTCAATCGATATAAAATGTACCCTCTTGATACAGTTTAATCCAACATTGAATCACATCTCCGGATGCTTTGGCTTGTGAGGCAGACAGAAAAGCAAAAGGCTGAGCTTGCAGTCACAATGTAAAGACTTTGGCACTTTGTGGAACTTTGGCGAAATGAAAAATTCAAGTTCAGATACGATCAGCATGCAAATTTGCACGGTGTCCCATAATCATTAGGTGATGACTTTGGTGGTTGAGAGAAGAAGAACCCAAAATCCATCACATCCCGAGATACGCGTGGAAGGTTCTTCAAGATGGCACACTTGTAGACTATTGATGAAAGGACGGCGCTCATAGACGCTTAGAATAATTGTTGCATAGAGCATGGTCTCGGACATCTCCCCAGCCTCCGTTCTTCATGTGCTCCTTGTGCTCCACTGGCTCCTCCCTACTAAGGACAAGGTGTGGAGGAAAGAGACCTTCCTTGGCCTTCTGAAGGCTCTCCTTTATCTTTTGCGAGGCCTGTTCTGGTCTGCAGTTGACCTTCTGGTGGAGTCCGCAGTCTCCAGTGTGTAGGACCCTAGAGCCTTGCGCAACCAGCACCTTGAGGGGCTTTGATATGCAGGTTCCGGACAGATGCTGCAGAGTCCAGTCCCAGTTGTAATCATCGTAGGTGCAGTACTCATTGCTGCAGCCCATCAGCTTGTAGTAAACCTCCCTAGATATGCCCATGCCTATGTTGTGTTTCGTCGACATCCATCCTGAGGTCAACACCTTACCGGACATGCTGGTGAAATCTGTCACGCCGTTGTGGTTGCCCAAAGCCAGCATGTCGCAGTCTGCGCAACTTGTCTTCCTAAACTCAATCATTAATTTATAAAAGTGGAAAAAGTCTGGCAAGATGTAGTTGTCTTCCTCGAGGAAGACGACAAAGCCGCTGTAGCCTTGCATCGCCTGCACTCGCTCCCAAACGAAGTGCAGCTTCCACCACCAGTGGTGTTTGGTTTGCGTGATGAACGCCTCCCTGTAGTGTCCGTACGAATCAGGGTGGTCTGCGTTGAGGCATCCTGTTCTCCGAGCCAAGTCCTTGGGCATGTCTCGGGGACAGTCCCGTGGGTCCTGCCCAGGAAACTCTTTGGGATACAGCTGGGTGCTGAAGGGGAAATAAATCTGCAGCACCTTGCAGAAAGTGATCCCTTGCACAATCGTGTTGATTTCCTGCGAAAAATAGTCGTGGCTGAAGATCAGGAGAAAACTGTGCACCTCAGCAGCTGTCTCCAGCGACCTGATGAGGAGCTGGAGGTATTCGGGCCTGTTGTGGACCTGCACAACCAGCACCAGCCGGGGCTCCCCGGGAAACCTATCTGCATTGTGGACACACTGCTTGTAGTTGGCGCTGTAAACGGACTGAGTCAACTCCGACACAGAGCCGAAGTTGAACACCTCGCAAGAATTCGTGCCCTGATTTCCGCCGCTGTCCACGCTCCGGGAGCCGTCTGGTCTCGCGCCGTCTTCAGAGACGACCAGCACACGTGTTGAAAACAGGAGGGTCACGAGCACGAAGATGACTCCCAGCAGCAGGAGCAGATTCCGCCTGAGCAGCCGAAACCTCATCTTTCTCTCCCTGAGAGCAAACTTTGGACTTCAGCAGAGGCGGCTCTTGTTCACCTCCTCGCGCGCGTCTGCATCGTTGAAAGTCGCCGCCGCGTCGCGTCGCGCCGCGACCCTCCGGTTTCCTGCCACGGCTTTTCAAAGGAAGCCCCGAGCCGTCGCGTGACGTTTTCTTTTTTCTCTCAAAAGCCGAGTTCAACCTTTTTCTCCGACACTACCGTCTGTCCGCTGGAAAACCGAGTCATTTTCCCAGGCGGCCGCCCCCAGAAAGAGCCTGAGGAGGGAAAGAACATTTCAGAAAACAAAACAAAAAAAAAAGAATAAAAAAAACTTCACACAAGTTGCGAGTTTCCATAAAACAAGAAGAAGCGGACACACTTACCCCGAGCTCTGAGCGAAGTGTCAACACGTTAAGACCAGGAAGAGAATGACAGAACGGTGATGCAAGTTATTGACTGCTGACGTGTACAAGCCAGCCAACGAGGAGAGAGCGCGAGCTGCTCCTCAGCGAATCACTGTCCTGCCCGAGGTCATGTAACAAGAGAAGGAAATGTAATCTGCAGCCAGCAGGATACTTTAGAAAACTCTTACCTTCATAACACTTCTTTGTTCGTTAAAAGGGTTCCTGCGTGTAAACTAGAAAAACTATGGACCTGGTTTTTCCCCCCAGGTCTACATACATGGAAAAAAGCCACAGCATTCTTTGTCCCATTTTCTAAAACATGTCTTTTGCTCCACTTTGTGTTTAATCCTTTCCCACTTTCTTGACACTTGTTCTGTTCTTTCTTCCTGGTGTCTTTCGTTCATTCTTTGTTTTCATCCTTCCTTTTGCTTTTTTCGTCCTTCCATGATGTGTCCCTCCTTTCTTTTCCACATCTTTTCATTTCTCCCTTGTCTTCACCATGTACCGATTCTTCTGCCCTTTCTGTTATCCCCACTGCTGCCCTTCATTTGTCCTTTTTGTCTTCTGCCCACAATCTTCCCTGATGTCCCCCCCGCTCAACTCGTTTCCTGTTTTTTCTTCTCTTGTCGTTCTTCCTGTCTCCGGTTCCATATTTAGGGCTGCAACATCTGCCAGTAAACTTTGGAGATCTGAGTCTAGAAATGATATTTCTTTTTTTTTTTTAATGTAAATTCTGTAGGATCCCTTGACATGTTCATCTTTAGAATGTCAGTGTGAGGTAATGGATTCTTGTGGAGTGATAAAGTGAGACAGCTCTCTGTTTTTATGTCACTTAAAAAGAAAAAAGAACATCCAAACCCTTTGGCCTTGGGTTTATGTGTGCAGGTCTTGCTGGTTTCACAAATAACGAAAGCCTGGATGAGTCCGTGCCCGAAAGCCTCAGGCTGACAAACCTGATATCCCTGTATCAGGAGGAGACAACAGAAGATGGAACCAGAGAGGCTGGGACTTGTGTCAGGTACTGGGTCAGTAATATGCTGCAAGAAGATCCTGTCGCATGGAGAGTTAAGATGTGCACTGGTGCATAAAGAAAGAAAAAAAATTGAAATCTTATTAAAAATGACATAATTCATTATTTATTGTTCTGTTTGGATATGAAAATGCAAAAATATCTTGCAACATATTATCACATAGAATCACACATTTGCATTGTCTCCTGTGGGAAAAGGCTTCAAGGCCAAACATTTTCAGTGTTTGAGAAATACATTTACTCAAACACTGGGATTGGTCTAATAAAGTTTCATTTTGATGATGTTTATTTTATATATATATATATACTTCAGGGAAAAATTCTTCTTTGACAAGTGTGTCAGAGAAAAAAAAGCTTCTGTTGTTTGTACTTTGCAATTCAAAATTTCACAGAATAAAGTTCAATAAAATAACAAATAGCATATATATATATATATATATATATATATATATATATATATATAGAGAGAGAGAGAGAGAGAGAGAGAGAGAGAGAGAGACTGTCATAACTGCGTGTTTTTGGTGCTTTCATTGATTCATTAGTGGTGAAAGGTGTGAAGGCTTTTCAGAAGTGTCATCCCACTGCTGCTCATCTTTCGCTCGCACCCCGTTCACTGCACCGTTGTATGTTAAATGTGTAAAACTAATCCAGATCATCACATTAGTTTTCCATCATTATGCTGTAAAAGTCAAGAGGATGTTACCATAAGGAGGATGTGTATGTCCTCCTTATGGCAACATTTGCATTTTATTTGTTAATGGTAGCTGCAGCAAATGCAAATATCTCACTCCTCTCATCCTGTACCTTGTGGTTAATGAAGGATCCCATAGAATGAGGCTTGTTGTTACTGGATTTTTTTTTCCATGTGAATTAGATATTTATATTCACTGTGTTCATTTGGTAATAAAATGAAGTGGTGTGGATGTCTGGTTCGAGGTCATCTGTACAAGAGAAAGAAGTGAAAGGATTTTGGACACAGTGTCGCTGAAAACATATATTTGAGAGTTGCACAATTGTCTGGCTGGAAATTGTTTCCAAATTCTGTTCAAGTTTAGCGAGTGAGTGTTTGTGAAAGGTTTGCTCTGCTGCACACAGGATGGCGAGTTGGAACACACAGATAACGTCAGGAAGTTTGAGCTCGTGAGCCGGAAGTTGAGTGGAAGTGCGTTGGATGACCTAAATCAAGTAGTTGGGTCAGCAGACACGGCAGTCTGCTGACCGCAGCACGGAAAGTGGTCCAGGTTCAGTAAAACTGTTGACACTTATTACATTTGGAACCATCAGCTCGTTTTGGACCTTTGTTTGTTTGGATTTCTCTCTGCTTTAAATGATCAGAGAAGTTCCAACAACAGGCAACAACACATTTTGTTCATTTCTCTGCACACCACACCGAAACAGACATTTTAATCTAAATGAGCCCCCCCACCCCTCAATGTTTTACATGAAATCTGACAAAAACTTTTTTCTGTTTTCTGTCGGTTATGGTAACTAAACATGTTTCTGTTTGACAAACAGCAGACCAGTCTTTAAACTTCTTCTTCAGTCTACATACATCTGGGTTTCCTAAAGCACAGACCATAAGTTCTTGTCCTTTTCTAGATTTTATGGCAGGAGTAAAATGGCCCCTCTATACCTCCAGTATAGGAAAGATGAGCAAAGCTTCACCTTTTATTCTAAGACACCTTTTACCAGCATAGGCTTTAATTTCAATTATGGGTTTGAGAATTTTCCCCAAATCTGCATCAGAATACCCAAAAGATACCAGGCACAGTCCAATTCCCTATGTAACATTTATCACTATTGTACAAGACAGTACATGTTGCAAACATGGTTGTCATGGTTTTTAAGTGTGGCTCCTGTACCTGTTACTTCAGGTGCAGATCTTGGGGGCGTGGCCTAGGCTGAGTGTTGTGTACAATCTTCTAATCCATTTTGTACATACAGAGCTTAACGCCTAGAAAGTTAGGCCAAAACTAACCTGAACAAAAGTTTTTTGGGTTTTTTTAAGCATTCTATTCTGTTTACCAGAACAAAGATTCACCTGATTGAGAAAAATGAAAAAATACATATAATAATGACCCTTCAAGAAACTATTCAAAACTGTAATCTTGCCCCGAGAGGCTTCCTGCATGTGGGTTAGAAAATGACCCCCCTATCAGAACAATATTAGCCTCCGATTGTAAATTTGAATGCTTTATGAATTTGCACGACTTCACAGGTGCAGCTGAGCTACATGGCCATGGAGCCGGGTTCACATTTGTGTCTGTTTATCCATTTTCTCTGTTGATTTGATCACCTTTTTTTATTATTATAATTTATTATTATAATTATTATTATAATTGTTATTATTCATGTAGAGGACCAATGATGTTGCACTTTTAGTTTTCTGATAGATGTGACGTGTCCAAGTATTGCAAAGTGTCCATGATGATCGGCTTTAAAAAAATAGAAAATAAAATAAAAAAAGAGAATCATATTTTAAAAAAATGTTATTTTTGATTTGAAGGAAGTGTGCTACTGGCAATTCTGTTAAAACTCTCATTTCGTCACTTTGGGAGACTTGGGATTTTTTTTTTTCTTTCTTCTTTTTTCAATATTATTTTTCTCTAAAATATTTAGTGCAATACTTAAGCTACTGCAACAAGAGATGGATTTACTTTAAGACCTTTCACACGTCTTCAGCAGGGCTTCTAATAAATACAGGCTGCGAATATAAACCTATAAATTCTAATAGTTTAAGCACATTTTCAGGGCATTTTTTGTTATGCTAGGAGGATGAGCATACTTGGATTATTTATACAACTGCAGTGAGGAATAGAAGTATAAAATATATCTGTTATTTCCATGTCTGTGGTTCCCAGGCCGTCCAGCCTGGGGGTCTCCCATACGCTGCTGATGCCGCCGGCCTCCAGTGAATCATTAAAACCCCTCTGAGGCTTTTGCAGGAAGTCCTCCAGCATTCTCTTATGTGTGTGAATGCACATCAGGTTGAGGAATCTTCTGGAAAACATTTAAACTGTCAGTCGTAGATTTATTTCACCTTTATTACATTTTGAGAGTTTTGGGCATGGACGTTTATGGGCTTGAAACATTCGTGGAAGACTTTGGTCTGTGTCCACGAACATGAATCAGAGCGTCGTTAAATCCACTTGGAATTTTGTTGGGGTTTTTTTCTATCTGGTTTTAACTATTAAATTAAAAAACACATTAGAAAACTAGTTCTTATTTTTCAGTCAATCCGTCTGGCTCTTTTCCATGCAGAGCAGTAAATATATTCTGAACTCATTCCAAGCAGCTAGCCTTGATTAAAAAAATAGTTTTTGTTTCTTTGTTGTTGTTGGTTTCTATTACATATTTTTAAAAACTGTCACTATGTCCTAAAAGTATAATATGAGACAGGTAATCTGTGAAAAAAATCAAACTCCTCGCTGTGCTGCTGTTATTGTCTGAGGAAATGCAACCCTCAAACCAAAACCAACCAATCAGAGCAAGGAGGAGGGTCTTAGCGCTGGTAAGCAACCAGGTGTAGGTGCTGCTTCATGCGCTAATAGCGTAGGAACAACTTACTATGATAAGAAAACTTTAACTACTGTCATCAGTGGCTACGCTAACTAGCTACTGCTGTATCCAAGCTGTAGTGTAGCAAAGAGCAAGGGTCAGGGTGTGAACAGCATGTACACGAGAATGATTGACAACGCTATGACCCTCTTCCTGGCTGCGATTGGTTGTTTCACGTTAGCACTGGGAGAAAGTAGAGGAGCGCAATTTCTTTGTCACAAGTATCCATCTGCTGTTCCAACATACTAACAGTTTTGACAAATATGTAAAAAACAAATATGTGAAAAAGTCATTTTTACAAAAGTGACATAGCCCAGCTTTCGGGAGATTCATGAAAGATGGGCTATGTGCTGCATTAACAATGGCTGCTTTCCATTTTGGAATCTATGCATGTTGTATGCCGAAGGGGGAACTTGTAACAGTTTGCTGGAATGAAGTACATTTTACCTACGTCTCTGTTTTCCCTTCTTGTTTAAGTCAAAATGGCGGCTGTGAAATCGGCCTGTTCCACTCTAAATGCATTCCAGAACAAATCCCTGATATCTCTAAACTCTTTTCTCTGGCAACATCTTATTCCTACACCATGGATCTTACCAGCTCAGATCCATGGCCCTAGATGTAATTCCCAGCGCAGCTGTTTCCATCTCAGTTGCACTACAACGAAGTGTTGGCTGGGGGTTCTGCATGATGGGCCCGGCAGGAGCGTACCATCTGCAAAAAGCAAAAATGAAATCCAAGGTAAACAGAAAAACATTTTGTCATCTGAGTGGGCCATTAAAGTGATGGAGCAGTGTTCATATGTCACACTTTATAACTCAAAGCCAGGCATTTAGGGGTCAAGCACTCCGTCACTTCCCACGTGGCGCAGTGCGCGGCGCTGCAAAACCCAAACAATAACGTGCCTTACTAATTACTAATTACAAAGTACGTGTGTCTGTTGTCTTGACTACAACACTGCGACATGGTTGCATGTCCTCCCCCACCTGTCTTCTTTCCATCCCCTTTCTGTTGGACTTCTTTCAAAATAAATGCCACCAGTTCATGCCATGTTAGGACAGGAGATGAGACGTTTCCACCCCTGAAATGATGGTGCATAGAAACACATATTGAAGTCTAAACTGTCTCAGAGAGTAAACACAATAGAAACATGCTTAATTTGTGGCATCGCTCATTAAAATGGCACATCTCTGATGTATTAAAATGAAATACGACAGATACCCTTAATGACATTGTATTAGCGATTAGGCAATGCATTCAGCAAGTACTTTTACTTTTAATACTTCAGCATTGTTAAAAGCACTTTTGAACTTTTTCTCAAGTATAAATGTTAACGTGGTACTTTTACTTTTACCAGACTGCATTCTTGTCTGTGTGTTTGCACTTTTAGTAAAGTACATTGTTTGAGCTCTTCCTCCACTGCTGACATGTCGCCAAAAGTCTGCAGATAAAAACCATGAAACGATGACTCAGTGATGGGTGTTATAACTCAGCGCTGCAGTTCTAAATACGGCCACACGGTGGCAGCAGTCAACCGGCTGACCCTGAGAAAGTTTGCTCAAATGTAAACACGCGATCATACCGCACGGTGGCGCGATGCAATGCAGTGTAAATAAACTAATTATAATATTAGTAGTCTGATCCAGTGTGTGTGAGCTGAGCAGTCCCTTTTCCTCCTTGCATCAGGGTTTACTGCTTGTCTGCCACACATCTTTCTCCAATCACACATCCGGATCTCTCCCAACAGAACCCAGAGCAAACATTACTCTTTGTGAGCCGGCCTTGGCCGCTTTTCAAGAAACACACACAATTTTCTGCCCTTCCTCTAAACACGCTGTGAGCTGTGTGCACTTTTAAGGGCCCGGCAGAAACGACACTAATCATTCCGGCAGGACTGCGAAAGATGGTTTTTATTATCTGTCCACAATATGTTCTCACCCTCTGCTTGAAACAGACTGCGGACGTGATGAATTGTCACTGATCAGGGCCTTGCAAAAGTATCCAAGCCTCAGGAATAGGGGTGGGCAGTTATTGTACCAGAAAAGTCTTACAATGACAATTTTGATGTATTGTTGTCTTGATCAAATTTGCATTAATGTTTTGGCAGATTCAATTTAAATTTCTTCAGAAATGTTCTAGTTGGAAATTTTATTTTTTATATTTCCTCTTTGTTTTGTCCCACCAATATCAGTAAATTTCAAAATTTGATTTTATGTAGTTAATGTGTTGCAAATTAGTAATATAAATCAAACTTGTTGTAAAGTGGAAAGATAGTCATTGTTGGTTTTTCCACATTTTTCACAAATACAGCTGGAAAGTGTGGCGTGGCCTTGAAGTCAGCCTCACTCACCAGAACCGACTCAGTGGGTTGTAGAACCACAGCTGGCTGATGCCAGGGGCGCCTGCACATGTGGATCAATGGAGGGCGTGTCCCCTCTTGAAAACTGTTGGCCAACCCACTAGATCTCCCAGGGAATCCTAACTGTGAAACCAAAAAAATAAATATATACATACATATAGAAAAGTTTTTGTGGAGGTGCCTATCAGCTTCGTGCAGCCTGGCGAAACATTTTGCGTTCATCGTGATCTTCAGGGTTACTATTCTATTCTAGCACGTTTAGATGTAAACCAAAAGATTCAGCTTTGATCAAGTCTGACGTCTGGATCTCTGCTGTTCCTTTAGAGTCCCCTTTGACCTCTTGGCCTTTTTCCAAAAAAATGCTGACAGGAATGCTTCCTCAAGGCGCTGCACATGAGTTATTTCTCTTGAGGCTTTAGAGGGACACCCCGAAGGGTCACAGAGGGGTTCAGCTTCATATTTCCAAATATTAAATTCCTTCCAGTTTATCAGTCTAATCTGATCTGTATTATTGTACGTGTGTTTGCAACACTGTTGAACTGCAGGCAATAGCCTTTGGTCTGTGCTCTGTACTGATGGGCATATTGTTGTAGGGCGCACACACACACACACACACACACACATACACACACACACCCCCACACACACACACACACACACACACACACACACACATGCACACACACACACGCACTCACTCACTCCAAGACAGCTGACCTTTTATGGCACTGGGTTAGGAGAACAAACACTCCCACAGCTGGATTTGTGGGTCAAAATCCTTTACGGCATTCTCAGGCGTGTTTTTATGATCATTATTTATTAATGTCCCCAGTTTATAAAAACGTCGTCATCCTGTGTTTTATTTTAGCTTCAGCAGCTGTATGGCTCAGCCAAAGCAGAAATGTCCAAGGAGCCCTTAAAGAGGCAGTATTATGCAAAACTGGCTCTCTTTTTCTTTTTTTTAGCTTTGATATCATTTTGATGGAGGAATCTTATCATGTTTGGTAGTGTCACATATTTCTTCATGCATGTTTAAGAATTACTCTAATCTCTGTGGCAACCATTCAGCTCTGCAAAATGCTATGTGGGTGGTGGACATAGCACCGCATTCGAGGATGAAGCTCCTCCTGTCAGCTCCAGTTTCCAAGCTTCCACCTCACAGAGCAGCCCTCTTCCCCTATTCCGCTCCTTCAGACTAGCCAGTAGCAATTAGCATACACCTGCTGAGCTCACTGTATGAGCTACATGGCGATACAATGCTGGTAAAAATGTTTTTAGAGGGGTAATAGAGAAGGGATGTTGTGATGACTTCCTGAAGGTGGCGTTTCAGACAGGTCAGGAGTCTCTTAAAGAGACAGAGGCAAAATTTCAAAATGTGGCAAATTTCTTTAAAGTCATGCTTGATAGATTGATAACAAACCATTAAGCCATAAAAATATGAATAAATAGCACTTTCTGCACTCAATGAGAACTTTTTAAGAGCGATGGGCACAGAGCGACACTAGGTGGTGCTAGTGCACCTACCGTTTTTCCTCTGGATAAAAAGAGTGCCCTTCTGAAATTTAGTTTTTTACAGTGTATTACTGTGTGACCTGCAATAAATCTCTCACTACGGCAGCCGCTGTTTCTGAGTGCCAGACAAGGTGCCCAATTTTATATACTTCAGCACCTGCCCTCCAAAATGTCTGTTCATATCAATGCTTCATAAAGCTAAATAACATTGAACATCTTTTCACACTGAGGTAATTTGGCAGCATGCAGATGAAGACTGCTTTGACTCAATTCATAAATTGTTATTTAAGCATTCAGCTATTATATTGAAGATCTTCCCTTTAGAGTCCAGAGGGACACAGAGTTATGTTAATACTGTCTTAATGCGTGTATTTATTGTGTTTTGATTAATGGAATACAAAGCATGACTCATTCCATCTGTAATGCCTCACATCTGTCCTCAACAATCCCAAGAGTTGGGTGACGCCGCTGCAACTGGACAATGTTCATATTTGCTTGTTTAAGTTCCTCCGTGAACTTGAAAACGCTTCATTTCCATTACGGAGCCCAGATTTTTAATGAAAGGCAGTTTTAGAAGCTCCAGTTCTCTGAGCCGAAGCTGATGCCGTGTGTTCAACAAGCATAAACAGCATTCCTGAGCTAGGAGGACCCCACATTCACATGATCCAAGTGTGACCGTTCTTCCAGACCACCCCAGAATGCACCGAGCATCTACAGCCGACTTACCTCCTGCGCTCTTTGACCCACATCGCTGCACGGTCGCAATAAACGAAACAGGGTTTTACTCTCATGTGTCTGATTGCTTTTTTGGAAAGCTGCAAGTCATATCAGTCATCTTCCAGAGGACAGGAGGCAGATCAGTGAGTATGTGCTGTAGAATGAGTGGAAATCATTCTGGATTATGTAATCTAGTTGAAAGTCAAGTTGAATCATACCAGCCGCAAATTACTGATATGATGTAGAGCATCGTTCGGGAGTCCTAACAAACCGCTCATTTCCATGGAAACCAAGTATGTTTATGAGGGCATTTATCAAAAAATAAAAAAGTAACGACCAGGAAGCATCTATTTTACCAAGAACCGGGCAGACATTTAACTGTCTGTTAAATGTCTATCAGCATAAAAATGTTTCTCAAACACTAGTGTTAACATGCCAGACATTTATCCACAAATTCCAATAAGCTAACGGATAAATCACAAAACAAATGCAAGAGACTTATCAAAACTGTGTCATCCAAAGAAGTCATCAACATTTCAAACAATTGGACACCAAAGTCATCAGACTTGATTCTGTCAGACTGAGAAGCACCGCTTTTGCTTTTTCAAATTAATTAATGTTAGCTAAAAAAAAAACAAAAAAACATCAACCTGTCGCTTTCTTGAAACTATAGTGAAACCAGACAGTTAAAACATAGGCTAGTATAGGGGGATATAGAATTTTAAAATGTACTCTTTTTTTTTTCAAAATAAAATGTAATTTTATTTCATTTAGAGTATCCATGGAAACTGATTGTTTATCATGCATTTTTCAAAAGATAACGGTCAAAAATAAGCTGGTTTTCTAAGAATTTGACATTAATTCAACTCATTTGACTATAAATGAACTAAAAACATATATTTCCTAAATCATTACACCACAGTTGAACATTCCTGACATTTACAGCAAAATTCAGCCCAGAAAATGGTTCATTATTTCAGAAGGATTTATGCTGAATCAAAACAACTTTCTTCTACAGTCACTCTACAGTCTAACAATGGAAGCAATTACATAAAACATACTCGGTGGTGATTACATAACACTGCTTCAGCCTCATGAACTGTTGTTAAAGGGAAGTTCAAACAACGTAAAATCACGCTTACCTTAAATTTCTTACACAGCAGCAAAAAGTTATGAACGTCAGCAGTCACTTTTTTTCTTCTTTTTAGCTTAACGTCGCTAATGAATGGTTTCGCTAATGTGTGTCCAGAATGTTTTTTCACAATGGGTCGCTTCGGTTCTGGAACAGATTTTTTCCTGGAGCCGGAACAAAAAATGATTTCTCCATGAAACAACTGTGGCACAAAGGGAAAACAAAGGGGAAGGAAAACAGTTGGCAGTCTCTGTTTTTCTGTCTGGACAGTGCTTGTGAACCGTAAATCCCATTGGAAAGTTACCTTGAACTGAGAGTTGGCAGTTCTGGCAGGACACAGTAAAATGAGAAAGTAAAAAAAAAAAGAAATGATACAAAAGCTCCGTTATTGTGGTGATCTTGGAAGCCGTAGCTTCACAATTCTTTAGACTGATTTCTGACAGAGAAATTAAGTTTCATTAGAAAAATGAAATAATTTCACACACCGGGTTTTCTTTGGAAGTCTTATGTCGTCATGCTAAATATGTTTCCCATATCTGGGGGAAAAACACATAAACTGAAACATCTGGTGCACACAGAGCAGAGATCCCTCACAATTTTCCAAATCCTGTGATTTGTCAAACACTTTCACCAGAACAAACAAATGCATAATGATGACATAGTGAGGATGACGTGCAACAGCCTTGTTTGTACCCAAATAACTGAATCCATTTGAACATGCATGTGTTGAGACACAGATCTCATCCGTTTGTTAGATTTCCCTTGAGGATTTAGGCTGTCTAGTCTGTCTGCTCTGGGTAAATACAACCAAAACAAACATATGAGTCCAACGCTAGCAGGAGAAGTGGCTTACGTTGTTTTTTGTTTGTTTGTTTTTATCAACGACAAAAGAAAAATACATCAGTAAACTGGATTAGCTTAGTTTAGCACAACAGTTAGACACATTTCTGGATCCTGATTCAGCTTCACCTGTTCACAGAGCAGATGTTTTACTTCAGGATGAGTCGGTGCAGCTTCCAGCACCGTCATGCAGCTTTTTCCTGATAGTCGTTTTTACAAATCCACAAGATGGAGCTTTTTAGTCCAAACATACTTTTTTTAAACAAAACAAAAAAATACCATCCTTTTCCTGTCAATGTGAAAACGAACTAAAATAATGACAATTAAATACAAATATTTCACATGAATTAAGTGATTGCATAAAAACGAACACCCTTCAAATCAGTATTTAGTGGATGCACTCTTGCCTAAAGTCACACCATGGAATCAGTGTGCATTGGTCTCAGGCAGGCCAGAATGTCTGGATGCTGCCATTTTTACTCCATTCTTTGTGGGAAATTTTGTAGGAAGAATGGAGAATGTGACAGGTTTTTATGACTACACACGTCTTGCAACCACATGACAACTGTATGCAAGAACCTTTAGTCTTGACTGGTGCGTTGATGTAGCTCTCTGAAGAAATGATCCGGGGGAAGAGAGAGTTTGCATGTGTAACGGGTATTAAGATGAAATTCTTGCTAAAATGTTTTGTAATTACCATGTGATGAATGGTTTTTGGCGCCCCCTACTGGTTGCCTATAAATACAAAGCTAAACCGTAAATTCCACGCAGTCTGTTGAGCGCTCTACTGTGGTAAGTCACCAAATCCAGTTCTTTTCTGAATAGTCATAGTAGGTGTGCTCAAAGACTGACGTGGAGTTTTATTACAGTATGCGGAGAGCTGATGGACCAGTAGTGGAGCTCACTGTACTAATTTGTGTTGACCATTTATTACAGGTAATTATATTATATTATTTATTAGTAAATTATTTTGTCAGTTATGTTTGTCAGTTTTTCTTCAGTTGAGTTGTCGGTTTGTCTGTTGTATTGTCGGTTTGCTGTATTTACCAGCTTGTCAGTTTGTTTGTTCCCTGTTTCAGTTAGAAGTTACTGTTAATTAGTTTATTAGTTAAATTTGATTGTTGTCTGTCTATTTTTTTTTTTATTTATAGGAATAGACCAGATTGTGTTAAATTAATTTTAAAGAAGTATTAATAATCAAATATCACTATACGATCATTTGTTAGAAAAAATATGTTGTTAAGCCAGATTGTAATGATTGTTTGTGACGCAGTCTGTTGAGCGCTCTACTGTGTATGCGGAGAGCTGATGGACCAGTAGTGGAGCTCACTGTACTAATTTGTGTTGACCATTTATTACAGTTATTACAGAAAATTCAACCAACTGGCCTCCTCTGTGTGTATGACGGGACGGGCATAAAGGGGAAGCTGTTACATTGGTGCCGTGACCTTGGACTACAATCAAGCTCGTCGAACCTGTGACCGTCCTGTCTGCCACATCGGGTTTTGAATACATTTATTCACATTGTGTATAGTTTCATGTTCACAGTAACATTTCAGGACAGTGAAAAGACGTTGCTGTACACTTAAACCTTTATGGAGCATTAGAGTAATATACTATGCAAATTGTTCTGACTTATTTTGTTTATTACTTGTTTATTCCAAATTGATGATTTTATTTCCTATTGTGTTTTGGATTTTGAATATCTTTCCACTTGTTAAACTCCCTGAACAATGTCTAATCAAAGTAACCACTTTTGGTTCAGCACACCCATTAGTTTTGGAAGAGGAAGAGGTGTGCTTGCTCCCATTCCTTTTTCTGTTGATAGTCCTGCTCCTGGTGGTCTTATGCCCTCATTAGATGAAATTCCTAGTGCTAGAGTCCATAATCCTACTAGTGACAGTTCTGAATGTGTAACTGCACAGATGAAATCTGTTTTACAAGAGATAGGACATCAGCTGGCTGACAGCATCATTTCACGCATACAGCCACATATCACAGTTTCTCCCAGTTCTACAGCCACACACACTGCAGGGAGTACTGTGTGTCAGTCTGGTTGTGTATCTGATGTATCCCAGGTTCAGGTTGTCTTGCAGAGAAAGGTCAAAGAACCTCCATGTTTTGCAGGTAATGGCTCAGACTCCATTACAGTGCATGATTGGGAAGATCAGATGAGAACATTCATTAGGAAAACTGATGTTAAGATTGAAGAGCAGGCTGAGGAAATCCTTATGCATCTAAGGGGAAAGGCTAAGGATGTAGTTAAGTTTGGGATTAGAAATAGTAACATTAACATCACTGCTCATCCTGACATGATTTATAGTCTCCTCAGAAAACACTTCAGCTCTTCTAAATACTCTGCTGTCCCCTTAGCTGACTTTTACTCGACCTTGCCCAAAGACCACGAAGACCCATATGACTACTGGCTGAGACTAAACAGAGCAGCTGACCTTGCTTCTGACTGCCTGAGAGAGCAGGGCAAATCATTTGAAAATCCTGAGATGGAGGTGACACGTATGTTTATTAGGAATTGTCCCTGTAAAGACCTGGCTCTCACTTTCAGATCCAAAACTATTGACAGGTGGTCAGCATGTGAAGTCCTGGAGGTGCTGAATCAGTACCATGCTGAGATGAGCTGTAAAGAAACTTTCCCAGTGCGCCACGAGAAGACAGTAGACATTAAAGTGCACAAAGCAGAAGTGGGCCATGGCTTGATCCCTACACATAACAGTCAGGAGTACCCCCAGACACACAGCGCTCAGTATGTCTCCCTGACAGATGTAATGTCGATGTTAGAGAAGGTTCTGCTACATGGAGCCTCTAATCAGCCACATGAAAGAAGGCGAATTCCACCCAGGCGACCTGTAGACAATGCAGACATAATAAATGGTTTCACTATTAAACCATGCATTATTTGCAAAGCTGACGACCACAGTGCCTTGTCACATTGCAGAGAAAATAGGCTTTGTTTCAAGTGTTATGCTCCAGGTCATTCACGCCACAACTGCCCAACTAAAAGAGCTGCCCCAGAGCATCAGGAAAACTGACTGGTCTGCACACAAGGGAGGACAGTGCAGATGAACCCAATAAGCCTCCCACTAAAAATGAGTCTCCAGAAATCCAAGATAATGCATCCCTCTTTGAGTTATACAGTAGTACATTGACCTCATCCAAGAAACCGATATTCCAGGGATCCCAAAGAATAGCAGAAACTAACAACCTGTTCTACACACCTGTGTCTGTACAGAATGGCCCCACCCTCAAAG